AAATGAACAAATTTAAATAAACCTAGAATCAAAAAGTGAAGATTTATTTTTTTTTAAAAAAAAATATGTCTAATCCTTCAATAAAGTTTTGGTATGATTAACCTAGTTGCAAATGTTACTAATTTCTTTAATCACTTAACTGAGCAGTTATTTAATGAGACGATTAATTATTCATTCACCAACAGTATCAAAACACGGAAAAAAATAGGGTAGTCGACACAACCAGCCGCTGGTTAAAAATGCGCCAGCTCCGTGCGGTAGTAACGATAACTACCGCGGTGGGGGTCACAACTAGCCTGGTAGTTACATTAACATCCATGGTTGTTAATGTAACTACTGGGTTAGTTGTGACCTCCACCGTGGTAGTTATCGTTACTACCGCACGGTAGCTGGCGTATTTTTAACCAGCCGCTGGTTGTGTCGACTATACCCTATTTTTTCCGTGAAATCTTGCAAAAATTAATTTTTTAAAAAAAAAAAAAAATTAGCAATACAGATAACATGGCAATGCGCCTACACCCACAACGCATGCACCCAGTTCGTGAACAATTAAACGTGCAAAATTTCGGCAAATCGTGGGCGATTCCCACCATGGAGGACCTAAAGGTCAAGATCCGAGCGGCGCGCCCAAGGGGTCAAACGCGCCATCATCGGCGTGACCACGGCCACGTTCGCTGGAATGAGGACGAGAAAAAGTGAAACCAAACCCGTTGAAACGCTCGAAACGAAACCAAAAGCGACCCATAGCCCACGTAAAGTGATGCGGCCATGCACGTGGATGGACCTAGAATTCGAGTAAACCGAAAAAACTAGTATGAGACTAGAACTAAACGTCTGTCAATAGATCGGAATAAAAAAGCGAATGGACAAGCATCGGCGCACGGTGGGACGGGTCGATGGGAGAAGTTGGACAAAATGTGGGAATTCTCAAAGCTCATATGAGGGGCTTGAGGGACAAGGCGCATAAGTGCAGTTTTTGCTATTTCGAGAAATACGTGTTTGAAGTTTCGAAATTGCAAACGGAACTATGTGCATTAAGACATGAGCCCTGAGAGCCATCAGAATATATGTGTAACCGGACTCAATTCATAATGCACATAGTTCCGTTTGGCAGATAAACGACCGAATGTGAAAATTGTGCCGTTTCTTACTGTTTTTGTACATTTTCAACATTCAGCCCCGCACCGATGCCCCCACACTGAACCTTTACTTCGAGCGTCAGGAACGGGCTATTTACAATACAAAAATTTTAAAAAAAGGGTCCAACCTAGAGACAGGAAACACTTCACTGGCCTTTTGGCGACAGGTGGAAGCTTTTACTTTCGGGATTCAACAATTCCTTACGGACAGTTATAAGAAAGCAACAGTCATCACTCTTTTTTTGGCTATTGACCTACCCACATGGTGGATGATGAGCTTCGGGTGACGTCATGAGCCGAACAAGTTTCCCAAACTTCGGCTTGTTTGCAAAACGAAACTGCGAACACGTTGTTGAACATCAACCATGTCGGTAAGTCAGCAGATAAATGCTGAAACCCCGAAAGCAAATGCTTCCACCATAGCCGAGATACGAATGGAGGGTCTCTTGTCTCTGGTCCAACCTCTTTGAGGGGCTCGTTCCACTGTGCAACGGACGGAGTAAACCCGAGGAAACTTTCTTTTTCTACGGCCGCGGAGCCGAGTTGACAGGGGCGGGGTTCGATGCCCGGCGGCCACACGGAAACGGGCACCGATTAATAGTGACAATTAAAAGGAGGGGGCAGACGTGCCCCCGGGGGGCGGGGGGAACAAGGGACCGGTGATTGCGCTCCGGTAATCCTGACAGCCCCCTCCGCGTCTGGTTCCCCTTCTTGTGGGAATGTTTCGAGAATGAATCAAGTCGGGAGGAGTGAACTGAATCGGTTCTGTGTCAAGGTTGCCCCGGCTGATTCTTGACCAATGAACTTGATTTTCAAGTTTACTCGCGACGCGACGCCGCGATGCGTGGCGCGACGCTTCCTCGCGGTGTTGCCGCTTGGTCGAAAAAAAGAACGCGCCGCGCTCGTTTGACGCAATGTATAATGCCTGGGCGAATTTTATAAAGCGATCGGGATTTGTCGCTTCCGCAAGTATGGTGTTCATTTTCATAGTTGTTTACGATGGACGGAAAAAAGGAGAAAACGACCGGCTGGATGTTGCCGTATTTCGTTCATTTCCGTGCCTGTTTCTGATACATAATGGGCAAAGATTGGAGGACCTACATGGGGAGAGGATGGACATGTTGGTAATTTAGAGGTTCGGCCAAGATTCTTTTACAGACCGAAAGAGGAGCCAAACTATGAACTCAAATTTTCCAGAACGATTTATCATTACAATTGAGGGGCTTGAAGGGCAGGGCGCATAAGTGCAGTTTTTGCTACTTCGAGAAATACGTGTTTGAGTTTCGAAATTACATGGATCCTTATGACGGAAAGAAAGTTCAAACTGACTTTTTGATGCTTAAAAACTGGAATTTGAGAGTAAATTTATCACAGAAAAGGCATCAAAACTAGTTTGACTTGATATCATTAATATCTCAATTTTCCAAAAACTGTACTTATGCGCCTTGTCCTCCGCAAGTCCCTCAATTTTCACGATCCGTCGTTTGTGAAGCCCAACTTTTAGTTAGGTCTTACATGAAGTGACTCCTTTTTGCAGAAAAACGCTCATTTATAAAATTTTTGGCCATCTTGGTTTGATATTTGAATCTGAAAATTAGCGGCGGCATTTTTCTGGCGTTTTTAGATGGTTGGCTGTTCTCTGAGCCCTGAGAGCTCCGTGTTTCGATATTTCCGAAATATCTCCATTTAGGTATTCTAGGCACTTCTAGGGACTTGCTTTCAGTTGCCGATGATGAATTTATTTTCATATGGCTACTTAATGTTTACGTTTCGTGCCTGATGGTTATGTTGTGTTATACATATCGTCGCTCCTCTGACGTAAAGGCGTATATCTCTTTCTAGATGAGCTCTGGAAACCATGGATTCATTCGTAAAACAGGGCTCACGTGGAAATCGAGGAACGTCCTTAGAGGAGCGACGATATAACTAAGTTTCGTCAACCCAGATTGCAGCATCCTCAATAATTTTTGAAAGTGCGTGTCTGTCTTTATGGTACCTCATAAAAAAAGTGTAAGGAATACTGCCACTAAGAGATCCAAATATATATCGTGAAGGTTCAAAAAGAGCAAATTTTCAAACAATACTTTTTCTTGCGCCAAGCAACTCGCATTTGTCAACACGCTTACTTTTCATGCGCCGCGTTAAAGTCTCTGAGGTGATCCCTTCACTTTGCCGTTTTTGGCGATCTCTCGTGCGGGTTCAGCATGATCAGTTTCTCCAACCGGAAACTTCGGTTACCTAAACCGAAAAACCTCGGTGTTCAACATAAACCGAGCTTTTCTTCACCGTGTAACAAAGGAGCGTGTCTGACATATTCAAACTCTTACAAGAGCTGAAAAAATGAAAGGCGAGCACGGGAGGGCATATATGGCTGGATCCTGATGGTACGTTCGCGTGGAAGAGTCCATCCACCTTTCCAAGTGCCCCGCGGGCTCGTTTCCGCTTTGAGTATCTCTGTAATTATACTTTCCGCGTCCAAGCTCCAGTTTCTGCGTGCCGTCACGACAACACGACAGCCACCGAACCACGGCGCCGCCGCGCCGCGTGGTTCGTGGCGACTGTCGCTAATTGCTCATCAAAGCTGAAAGCGAATTTCCAACTACATACTGCCCCAGGCTCGGTTCTCGCCTTTAGCAAGCGTAAAGCTTTTGTAAATAGGTGAACTGTTCAGCCTATCTTGCGTATTGAATGAGACACTAGACAGGAGAACTCAAGGTTAAACCACAAGGGTCAGGCTGGAAGAGTGTGTTCCATGGGTCAGAATAAGGCACTGAGAAAAAGTTCAATCGCAAGTCTAAACATGAATTACCCAGTATATTGATACTAGGGGGTGTGAATATTGGGTCAGTTCCGCTGGTCACAGAATGGGGATGTTTCATGTGTGAGGAATTTGCGATTTGACTGTTGATTCTTGTGTAAAAGTTCGCGAGAAACACGATGGTCCCACTGGTTTTCTCTGAAATCAACTCCCAAGCTCAAAAAAAGCTCTCAAGTTGAGGCCAAAATGGAGGGGATATCGCACGCTATCCTGAGAGTCCACCTCTACATCAAGACAAACTCTCCATGCAAAGATAGGGAGCAAATACATTGACAGGGCTGCCACTTTATTTGGGGACTCCAAAACTGAAAACACGGCAACCCTGCTAATGTATTAGCTCCCTATCTTTGCATGGAGAGTTTTCTTTGATGGAGAGGGGGACTGTCAGGATAGCGTGAGATATCCCCTCCATTTTGGCCTCAACTAGAGAGCTTTTTTTGAGCTTGGGAGTTGATTTCAGAGAAAACCAGTGGCACCATCGTGTTTCTCGCAAACTTTACATAAAAATCAACAGTCAAATCGCAAATCCCTCACATATGCTACATCTCCATTATGTTTTGATGCTTGATTCTTGTAGATTTGCTAAAAATAAAAAGATATATCCAAACAGCTTTCTACGTTCAATATTAACCGAAATATCGCCCTTTGAAAAGTTGGGTTTTTGCCGTCATCTATCGCGGTAGTGACACCCTTGATTTCTTCCACCTTGCTTTCATCTGAGTTTCATGTTGAACAGCCAGTGCAAATGTGCTTCACACCAACTGACGTAAGCAAAGTGGAAGGAACCAAGGGTGTCAATACCGCGATGGATGAGTCAAAAACCCGACTTTTCAAAGGACGATATCTCGGTTAATATTGAACATAGAAAGTTGCGGTTTGGACGGATCTTATTATTTTTGGCTATTTCACAAGAATCAAGAATCAAAACACGATTTTGTGACCAGCGCAACTGACCCATTCACACCACGTCCAGTGGCCCACTTCCATCTTCATTTTTTTGGTATGACTCTGAGATATTGATCTATTTTGTGTATCTCTTGCAGGATGTTGGACAGTAGGCATCTACGCGTAATCTGGTTCCTGATAGTATTCCTATCACTGATGAAGAGCGTCTACTCGGAGGAGTCGTCGGAGAACGGGACGGAGGCGGGGGCCAAGTTCCTCTACTCGGTCATCGGGAAGATGCACGGGGAATCCCCCACAAATACCAAAGTCTTAGATTTAATCCTCGACCGCGTCGAGACCAAGCTAGGCGCCTCCGGGCCCGGCCCCTTCCCCGGACCCACCGGGCCCACCGCCCCGGAGGATTTTAGGATAGTCGCCCCGACGCCTTTAACTTATCATGACGAGGTGAGTTGAATCCCGATCACGTTTTTCATTTGCATTATGATGTATTTTAGAACCTCGTTCGTTGCGTGATTGTTATTATCGATCGTATTTCGAGCTTGAATTCCGATGAGGATGATGTGATTATGATGATTTTATTACTGGAGCCGACCTGTCCGTGTTATACGCTCGTGATAATACGAATGAAATTATGGGCAGCGCGTGGGATCAAGGAGGGGGGAGGGTTCTTCTATGAAAAAATCTCACTTTCTTTTGCTTCCTCTTATTCTGATTTTTACTTCTTTACTTTAACTGCTTTCTTTGTTTTTGCTGCTTCTTATATGCTTTCTTTTGTACCTCTTTTCATCATCATTACCTATTCTCCTTCTTTCTTTACATATCTTCCTACTGTTTTGTTCCATCTCGTTCGGCACCTAATTCTCGTCTTTTTACCTTTCTCGCCGAATTTTCTTTCTTATTTTATGGTCTTGCACTTGCTGCATTCCTTAGAATTTAATTTTTTCCCGACACTACTTCTCCAATTTTCTTTATATTCTTCTTTATCTCTAATTTCCTTCTTCTTCTACCAATCCCCATATTTTCCTTATTCTACGAACGGCTTCACAGCATGCGGTGGACTGATATTGAAATCTATAGACAAGTTTATAGACAAAGAAGGAAAAGAGGAAAATGAATCTGAATGGAGCTATCCTGTTTTTCGAAAGAAGTGGTTGTAACAGACTATGGAGGAAAATAATTGATTAACTTTAAGGTCTCTTGTGGGTTGTATTTGTCTTTTACAGCTTTGCCTATCAATTCCAATAATCAGGATGCGGTAACGCAAAAGTTGGTGTCTCTCTCCATTAGTTTGGTTGGAGAGGAAGGGGGGGTCTATTCAAGTCAAGATAAGCTTAGACTCCAACTGTGGTAGGAAATTAGGACTTTTTCCCTAAGTAGATCAATGACTTAATTTCTGGACAGACTGATGACGATTATACTGTGTGAAGTGGCCTATCAGAAGGTCTATCGCATCGGGTCCATATGAGGAGATGGCATTAACATAAGGAGACATTTAATGTGTACAAATTTGCGTCCAACCCAGCATGAGAACAGTGTTGTGGCCCTCCTGTATAGGCAGTTCAATAATTATGTCATAAAGTTGCCAGTTGCATAAAGCTAATGTATCGTAAACATACATTTAGCGTCGTAAATCATAAAATATCCTCAGGAGTTCGGACTCCCAAACAACCTTTAAAAGTCCCTCCTCCTGATTATCCTCTGCGCTCCGGTAGATGGCGAGTCATTAACGTCAGTCATATCAGGTTTCGTTACCCGTGATAAGTCGTAAAATGTGAATTCAACCAGATATGCATCATATGGATCGCATTTAGCAAAAAAGTTCCAGCGCGATTACAGTGTTGTAAAAGTGTTGCTTCTTCACAATTATCTAAAAAATTTCCCAGAGCAGCAAATATCCCACGAAAAATTGTCTATTTTAAAGGAAAATCATTTTGTAAATTTCCATGCTGTACATGTATTGAATATTTTTAAAATAAAAGAATAAGTTGCACCGTTTTGAAAACAATGTATTCGCGCTGGTTCTCTTTTGCTAAATGCGATCCATATGATTTTCAGACATCGTTTGATTAATAATAAATCATCGATCAAGTAAAAAAGTGGTACATTACAGTACTGATGGCTAAAATTCAACGCTATTTTTTAAAATCCCGGTTGTTTTTACTACATAAATACGCACAAAAAACCCGTTTGTATCGCGCTTTTTGGCGCTCTGCGACACCCAGCAGCCAAATTCCCCTATCCTCCCAAAGCCCTCCAGGAAGATGGCACACCCTCATTTCCTCTAAAACCCCCTGTCGTCACCCTTTCATTGAGTGTCCCTTGTCCCCTTCGACTTCTCCCACAGAAACGCAAAGCAATCTGGCCACCTTTCTTCCATCATTTCGTTAACATGACCAAACCAGACAAGCTATTTGGTCATGACGTCAATTTTTTTTTTAAATTTTATTAAAGAAGACTATATGAGCATAATTTCTCACTAAAATTTTTGCTGTTTCTTCAACAATGTTCAGTTGATTCTAACGTAACCACAAACGGTAATTTTGTGAATTCCTACTCACTTTGACTTGTTCTCGAAGTTTTAATGAGACGTCTCACCTTGTACTTAAAATGTTAACACGTTCGTTCGCAGTGGTCCAATTAGATGCGTTTATTCGCAGGAAGTCGAAGTTTTCGGATCAAAGATAGACGATTTCGAAACCCAAATATGGTAATGTTAAAAGCTCTCTTGAATGAGAACACAACTCGCTGCCCGCGGTCGCAAAATAGCCTGCTCCTCTCTCTCAACAAGCACGTTTTCTCCCCGTTTTGTCTTTCCGTGCGTTTTCAGGAGCTTCTTAATTGGGACTTCCTTTACAAATGTAACCCATAATTACTAATCATGACTTAAACCTACGAAACTGAGCCCCTTAAATTGGGCCAGTGAAACGGGCAAGACCAATAGTTAATTTCGATGATTGGTCCTTTCGTGTCATTGTTGCCGCGTTTTTTTTAACAAAAAAAAACTGTCCTCATCTATTTTACGAAACGGTGCCTCTCAACATTTTTCTAATATTATAAATATTTGTTTTTAATTATTTTTTAGAGCAGGATAAAAGGCTATCATTGGTTGGCTTAATTATGTTTTTAATGGAAATTTTCGATGAGTATGGGCAGGAAAGGACCAAATTTAGCAAAAAGAAACTGAACTATCGGCTGATTTTAGAAACGACTTATCTGCCCTTGATTTCTCTTCAAAAATCCGTTATTCAAAAAAAAGTATATATTCTTTGGTCTTTTCTGCTAAACTTGGTCAATTTCTTTGACAAAATTTAACATTACAGTGAAGAAACTGGAAGGACATGCAAAAAATAAAAAGACAGTCTTGAATTATCACGTAGTAAAATCGTCATTATATTCCATTTTTTTCCTGTTGTCAACAAAAAAAATTAATTGTGAGCTTCTCAAGACGTATGAAATATTGGTTTTTCAATTAAAACATAAATATGAAAGAAAATTTGGCAGCAATTCAAGATATGTGTTTTTTTTATGATTACGCATTCTACATCTATTTTGTATTGATTCATTCATTCATAGTTCTCCGTTTGAAAAATTTATATTTTTGCCCTACTTGGCAGGGCTGCTGTTCAAATTCCCATTTCACAAATTCCAATCGTTTCGTCGCGCTGATAAAAATGCCCTTTTAGTCGCGGTAAAAGGTCTGAAAAAAATACATCCTGTGACCGCGCGATGCGAAGACAAAGATTGAAATGCGGACGGATGCTCTGTCCTCAGGCTAAAATCGAAAGTTGGATCCTCCTTTTGCCGCGATGAGCATCAGTGGCGTGGCGTGCTTTGCGATATATCGAATGATCTGCCATTTAAACTTATGGAAAAGGATCGATAAACAGGGTGCTCGGAGCGAACACCTTAATAATCGATTCTTTACCGTAGGTTTAAATTACATATCAATCGATATATCGCAATTCACGCCACGCGCCACTGATGAACATTAATTAAGATGTCGAGTATGGAGCAAAATTGAAAGCAGCCGGACGAAAAAATGTTGACAAAAACCACGAATCCCGAAAAAAAAACCTAAAATTTAAATTTAAAACTATGAAATGAACTTCGATGTTGACCACATTGCCTCCAGGAGAGCGCTTCTCAGTATTCCATGATCGAGAGTGATTTTGATCCGTCTCCTCTTGACCAATGAGAACACGCACTTTTATCATTAGTTCTCCTCCTTTTTCCTCATCTAATGGGGAATCAAACCACTTAGATCTCAAACTGCTCAGTGGCAAAATATTTGTATTTCAGAATACAATTTTGAATGCAACGATGAAATGCTTTTATTGCATGTATAAATGCTATCAAAGTGAACGGTAAATATTGAAAGAGACGACACGGGATTGATTAAGAAATTGAAGAAGTGTACGTTATATCCTTCAGAAGGGCTTTGAGAGGAAAGGATAAAGGGTGTGTGGTGGTTGAGCATCCCAGTTTATACGTCCAATCGAGCACTGTAAAAGTGTCTCTTATGCGAGTGTGAAAGTACATCTTCGTAAGAAAATAACAAGAAATATTGGGGTCAGTTCTTTTTTAACACGGAGAAAATGGCATAAAAAATTCGGTCTTTTAGCAGATAATTGTTACGTAAAAATATGAAGAATATTCAATTCAAGCACCCTTCAACGATAGGCGGCATCATCAAAAAAATGTCAAATTTAATTATTCTAATGAGAGGATGCATGATGACTTTGCATCTTATGACTTTACGTGGTAAATTATAAAATCGGTGATAGAGGAGAGCCAAGAAACTTTTTGAGCAAAGCCAAATTCAGAGCATATATGCATCAAGAGCATCTGCATTGGGCGGCAAATTATCGATTTTTTTCCTCAACTCAGTTCGCACGCGCCAAGGCACGGAAGAAACGTTTTTAACTCGAAATCAAGTATCGATTTTTTAGACTTGGAATGGGATTAGGTATGCAAACTTTTCCGATTACTAATATTTTCCATTTTGTCTGTCTTAATGTAATGTGTGTGCACCTATTGGGGGGATTTTTTCAGTCAATGGCAAGAGGGGGGGTCGGCAAAAAAATTGTACCACCTGGCGCAAAAAACCTAAATCCGGCTCTGCTTTTGAGTTATTTGTTTCGGTGAAAGAAAAGGAAATCGTCGAAAGATCGAGGAGTTCCGTAGGATTTCACCTCTAATTCCGAGCTGGAATCGCCGCTAGGCCGCAGTGCAAATGCTCATTATCCGAAATAACCATTGTTCCCAAGATTCAATTGTCACCGGCTGACGTCATCGGCATGCTTTATCAAACACTTTTACTTGCCCCTTGTGATTTCTGCAGCATCATCTACTCAGCCCAGTTGCAATGGAATCTGCGCTTCCTTGCAATATCTTTCTCCGCGTAATTATTCATGATCGTGGGAATTTGTCGGGTATGAAGTGTAAAGTAGAATAATGGAAGTAAAACCGTTAATTACAGCATTATAGGATGGAATTTATTTTATTTGCTGTTGAATTGTCTTGAGATCTAGGTATAGCTGATCTGAGGTATAGCTATGATTCATTGATTCATGTGAACGACAACTCCCTATCAATTGAAGAAAAAAAATATGTTTTGATGTTTTCATTTTGCATAATATTAAGAATGTAAGCATGCACTGGAAAAAAAAAAAAAAAAAAAAAAAGATCTGAGTTCGCCGAGTTTTGTTGCAATGAAAAAAAAAAAAAAAAAAAAAAACACATTGGATCTAGAGTCCAGACTCTTGAAAACATTGACAAGAAAAAATACTCTTGATTAAATCGGATTTTTGCTTGGATCAAAACGAAATCCGCTTAAATTAAGAGGTTTGGTTCTTGATTTAAGCTAGATTCTGATTGAATCAAGAGTTTTTTTTCTCGTCGATGTTTTTATGAGTCTGGACTCTCGATCCAATGTGGTTTTTTTTCCAGTGTGGTGTTATTTAAGTGATCGTATCAATCGGTTAGTGGGGTGAAACTATGAAATATTTCTTAGTTTTTGGAATAAGAATCCCTTAGAAAAGATTTCATGAATGAGACCGTCGCACGGTGGATCGAGTCAATGAGAGCGGTCGGACATGATTTTTTTTTTACTAGGCCTGTAAATTTTTTTGCTTATTTTGTCACATTTTAAAAATCAAGAGATGCTCATGGAAGAAATTTTCACGAGAAAACCAATGAACCCACTTTTAGAACCTCAGAGTTTTATATAAACGGAGTTATGACAGGTTAAAGTTTCCAAATTTTGTCCGACCTCTCCTATTGACTCGATTCACTGTGCGTCAGGAAAAGGTAATTTATTCCGTGCGTGCAATTTTTCGTAGGTAGAGCGATTTGGGCCGAAAAATTGGAGTTTCAGATTACGACCAAAAACTCTCTCAAGTGTCTTGAGGCTTAAGCTGCAAGTGGTTCAGGCCCTTTCATTGCTTTGAGAGCAGGTAAAATCGTAGCATAATCCAAGAATTCTGTAAACCCTGAGCTCTAAGGACTAAGGCCCCTTTCTTCATGAAATATTACGAAGATATACCTACACGAGAAGACGGTAAAAAACTCAGAACAATAACGCAGCCAAGATGTAGAGGGTTCTCTGGCATAAATCGTTGCTTTCCTCACGAAAAAACCTAACTACATTTCAATTTGGCAAGGTCTCGTAAACTGCGATTCATGAGGAGAATCTTAAGCACTTTGAACCGAAAATTTTACTGAATTATTCTCTGATCTCTGAAAATCTCTGATCTCAAACAAGAATCAGACAAAATTTATACAAAAATTGCACACCCGCACTCTTGTAGAAATTGAATTGTTTGAGTCAATTTTGCAACCTTGAAATGGAATTGCCAGCTGAAACGACGAAATGTGATTGTCTAAATCTGACTGTGAACGGTTCAAAAGATCTATTTTTCTCTAGTTTTTGAAACTAAACCGCAGAAACCAAATCCTATAATTTCTGCAAGTCTCTTTTTTCGCAGGAGCCATCAAAAGCATCTGAATTTGCATTTCATGGCATATTTCGAAGAAAGCATGTATCGGTTAAAAATAAACAGACTCCGTTCATAACCGTTAATACGTTCATGGAATATTTCAAAAACGGAACTTCCTGTTGAGGTCAGGAGAGGCAAGAATCCACTCGGACGTAAAGTCTGCTAAGCTAGGGAAGAACACCGTATGAACATCCGAGAGTTGCCAAATTTCCTTCATACAATGATTATTTTTCAGGAAAGTTGTGAATATTTTTCCTTGAAATTTTATAGAATTTAAGGTCAAATTACGAGCAAAATGTTCTGAAAAATCAAAGGTGAACATTTACAAAATTTCTCACAAATTCGTGATTTATAAAATGAAATTTGGCAACGCCTGAAGGTTCATACGGCGTTTTTACTTAGCGTGGCAGAGGCGTCTTCCGGCGAGGTGTTACAAATATGGCACACGCCAAACGAGGAATAGTATGCTACACCGCAGAGCGATATATTACGAATATGTATTCCATTATTATAAAATATGGAGATTCGGGGCGGTGAAGATCCAGCCGATTATCCGCATACGGCCGAAATGATAATTACTGTCGATTCCCCCGAGAGTTGTCCCGTGCCGCCGGAACCTTTTTCGGGGTTAATGCCCACTCAATCCTACGTGCTTTCGGTCAATCTCCACATCTCAGCCCACCGTTGCCCATTTTGCACTCTGCTCTGGTAAGGAGAAACGCTGTATGGGCATTTAGCCGTTGCCAATTTTTCCCCCGATGATATTTGGACGGAGTTAAACAGAATGGAACCAAGCCACATCGGGATCGAGCCGAGAAAAAGAGGCTTAAAGTTTAGCTCCTGCATAAGACTCAATGTAAAAGATAAACTTCAAGTTTAATTTCTGCAAAATTTGCTCCAACAAAAACTCTGAATTTTTGGCGATAGATAGTATAGAGCAGTGGAGTTCAAAACCACTCATAAATCAATTTTTTCCAAAATGTGGGTTGGTTCCTTTCTGCTTAACTCAGTCCATTTGTTAGTATTAATGGAAAACTTGTTAATTTTTTTTGCTTCAAAATTTTTAATTTTTTTTTTTGTTTTATTTTTTCGTTTTTTTGGGTTGACAATAAGCAGGACTCATATTCTAGCCGAAGGAGACAACGAAAATGAGGGAGAAAGAGGAGAAAACATATTTTAGGAATTGCAATTTTTTCCAATCATTACGAGAATTTTAAGTAGATATTGTCATTTCCCGAACGAAATACCGTTATCCCATTTCAAAGTTGCTACACCGACTAAAACAATCCGTTTTTTTTCCAAAACATATGACATGGAAATTCCTGTTCAAAATTTTGTTAATTTTTAAGTGGATGAAATAAGTGGTGTCTCAGAGTAAGAAATGAGAGTAATTACCTTTTGAATGATTCAACGTAGCTTATCCCACAGTTACTCGGACGAAGACATGCAATGCTATACTTTCAAGTTTGCAAAATCGACTTTAAGCGTTCAATTTTTCATACTAGTATGACTATTAATTTTCTGTCCAACATTTTGCTGATTTTTGCTTGTCATCAAAAGGAATAATCAATAAAATTCCTGTAAGAAATTCCCAATTTTTTTTAAAAAAAAAACATGATTAGCAAGCAGAAATTTTGCAATGATGAAATGCAGCTCTGTTATTTTGTTTAGGAAGCGAAGGAATTTTCATTAACTTCCTCGAAAATTAATATTTAATCGAGAAAAATATGGCAACGTCCGTATGCACATACGGCGTTCTTCCATAGTACAACATCGAATGCCGGTATTTTTGGGCTCGTTCAATAAGTCCGTCCTCTTCTTGACTCTCTGTGCCACTTCCGCCGACTTTATGGTCCTTTTGTGACCGAAAAACTTGTCTTTGCGCGCATCTTCGTCTTGTTTCAAGTGGGCCTACTCGCTTTAACGCTCCATTTGCGAATAGAGCTCGTTGATGGGAAACAAACGTGATGCGGGTTCATGACTCGTATTGCTACTATTTAGTCGGAGGGTATGCGGCTGAAACAGAAAGTTGACTCGTTTCAAGTAGTACTTTACAGCCTCAGAGGTAGTCGGAAATCGTGTACCGATGACCCACGTTAATTGCCCCTGCTTCGAGCTACCATTTCGTTGCGGATCCTCTGAATTATCACGGCATTGAAAAATGACTGGCTAGCTGGCTGGTTGGCTTCAAATCCATGGAGGCCTCTCAAACATGTATAATTTGTCAATCACTCCGGTTGATAAATTTTTGTCGCTCTCTGTATTTTTTGATATCGGATAATACAGACACGAGGAGTCTACATTATTTTATTTATACTTATTTTTAAGCGCTCAGCCGATAAGGAGTGCATTTTAATATCAACCTGCCTCTAGAATTCTAATTTATTATAGTGATAATGTGTTCAAATGGCGCACCAGCTCAGCAACAAGATCACGGAAAGGGCCTTATAGAATTTAATATGTGATAACTTCATTTGGATTACATTTTGCAATAAGCAACCACTATTTCTGGCCACTGTAGAAACGACATACATGCTTTTTGTTCCTCATGCAGATATGTGATTTTGTGGAATAGCCAGGGATAGTACCTACTTCCTTATTACAAAATAATAGCCATTTAATGCATCTGACACCAAAGAGCGGAGAATGATAATCGTTTTTCTGTAATTTATTTTTTTAGCAGTGGTGTAGTTTTCTTAAAATTGATACAAAAAAAAATAAATAAAAAAAAAATAATGAACTTTTCAAGAAAATACGACTTTTTATCGACTTGAGCACGCTCCGTAGTATACGCGCAATGCATGAAGTATTCTGCAGACTTATAAGGCGCTACTGTGCGTGGCGCGCTACGAGCTGTACGCGCAATACATGAAGTATCCTACGGTCTTGTAAGGCGCTAGGGCTTTCTCGTTTGTTTTTTCCTCTCCTTTTCTTCCTTTTCCTATCCTTAGCCTTACGCAAATCCTAGCTAACAGCCCGTCTTCTGATTTCAGAATCATGACAATCAAAATATCAACAACGAGAGGTATCCACCGTATCCCACCGCACCTTCGGGCCCCTCGAACGCGGGTCAAACTGCCCCAGGTTATGGGCCCGCGGATCCGCATCCAAGCGGGGCTCCCGGGTTTCAGGGCCAGCAGGGCCAGCAGGGTCACCAGGACTCCTGGATCCCACCCTTGAGCAAGGACGAGCTCATGGCCCTCTATCAAGCGGCCATCCAAAAGGGCAACGCCGTCAATCTCAACAGTCTCCCGCCGCTCGGCGTCCATCAGATGCTCCCCACCGGCCCCGGCCAGGACGCCGCCTATCAAAACCAAAATTATAATAATAATCATCATCTGCCCAATTATCAGCAGAATGATATCAATTACAACCATGCCAACCCTCAAGGTAAGAAATATGGTAGTGGATACATAACATGAGAGAAAAGTGAAGTTGGATGGCACTGGTAAAAAAACACATTGGATCTAGAGTCCAGACTCTTAAAAACGTCGACAGGAAAAAATACTCTTGATTCAATCGGATTTTTGCTTAGATCAAGAAAGCCTCTTAATTTGAGCGGATTTCCTTTTGATTTAAGCTTAAATCTGATTGAATCAAGAGTCCTTTTTCTTGTCAATGGTTTCAAGAGTCTGGACTCTAGAACCAATGTTTTTTTTTTTTTTTTTTTTTTTTTTTTTTTTCAGTGAGAGTTAATTAGAGCAATTATACTGCCGTGATAGCGATAGAGCAACTCGCCACCTTCCGGCAAAGTATCACAATCGCCATGTGACGTTTCAATATTATCGCCGCCATTTTATTTTTATATTGAAAATTTGTTGGTTGAATCTGTTAGAAAATTTCACTGAATTTAATCGGCAGCACAAAGAAAATTCAGTGAAATTTTCGGTCAGGTGTTGCAAAATTTCTGTGTAAGAAATTGGAATGGCGGCGGAATTTTGAATTATCGCGTGGCGCTTGTAATACTTTGGCCGGAAGGTGACGAACTCTCAAATTTTCGAAATTGAGTTTTTTTCAAAATTAATGCAATCACTTTTCGATGAGTACTTCTTTTCGCATTGTATTAGACGCAATGCGAGAAGTATTCCTGCACTCTCGTAGGCGCTAATACGCCTTTCACGTTGACCAGCGACCACTTTGTGTTCAGGGCAATGCATGAAGTATCCCTGAAGTCTTGTAGGCACTGAAATGGCTGAAACAGCAAACTTCATCTTACCTGTTAGAAAACGAAACATATGAGAAAGCCGCAAAAAATGACGCAGTTTCAGGCAAAACAGCCGTAAGAAACATTACTCCTCCAGATAGCCAATGAGAACAATGCTTTCAAGTAAAATGCCGCCCTCCTCTGCCAATTTCTAATCTGAAAATGTGTTTGTTGTGCGTCCAAAACGCAGCTACGAAAACATGCAGAAGATACCACTCACGGCGCGGCGTGGCGGCGGGTGTTTTGCCCAATACTAGTCAAACACGTAAATGAATGGTATCTTTTCAATGGAATTGACATAAAATCGGTCGGTTTTTAATCATCCAAACGATTTCTAAAAGTCTTTCGGATGATTCGGGGGAATAAGACAGAATACTAGGTCGAATTTGACCACCCCCGTGGTTATATAATAAATTAGCTTTTCGCTATTTTAAAACGTATACATTTGAAACATACTGAATATATTTTTTAATAATTAATTTTTTTAATTGGCAATCCCTTTTTTTCGAGTTGAATTTAAGGAATATTCAAAACAAAGTAAACTTTTTTGCAAATTAAATATCAGGCATGACAACAAGTGCAAGGTGAACAGTAGTGTCGCGCGAAAAAGGGCGTTGAGAAACAAATCCTTCCAAATGAACTCCATTCACGACGAGAAAAGTTAAAATAAACAGAGCAGTCAATCATCATGAGTAACGGCAAAAATCTTGGAGTAGTATGAGCGAAGATAACAGAGAGAATCATGGCTTCACATCATAAGTTTCTTCATTTAAGCTCTAACAGGAAAACAATGAGCAGTTTAGAAATAAACTTTACAGCGAGAAATCCACTTTTACCCTAACGTTACTGCAATTTGGAGGTATCGTCTATTTTTTGTAATAACAGATGAAAATCATAAATTTATTTCTTGCCAGGGAGTTCATTACGAAGTTTTCGTTGTGGGCGCTGTGAGAGTCTGAAACAGAAACTCACGCCGCAAAGTTTTGATTCAAACCGTGTCTCATTAAATTACCTACACAAAAAGCATGGAAATTATTTATCTATATAACGTGCACTCCTCCAGTGATACCTTTTCACAAGCTCAGTAGAATATCCTGTAGCAACTTTGTTGATATTGTACGTGGCAGAAATGCGAAAAGTGAAAATGATCTGATGAATCTCCCAGACGCATGGGTAGCGTTACCAGGAGTTAGTGGTGATTCTTGCAAGTTTGCAACACTGGTTTTCCCTATTTAAATGTATGTTGAAAAATCGATTCTAGGTAAGGCATGCCTGTCCCACCAAGAATAGATATTTAATGGATTTTAATGGAACATTAACAGTGTTGCCAACTTGCTTGGCAGGCAGTGACCACTAGATTTCCTCAGGATCATATATACCCGGACAGTCTACATGTATAACCAGACCAGACAGCTTTTAGAGGTGTCGTTCGATAAGTTGGCCATTGTTACTTCCGGTTTGCAAGCGCCAACGAAGAATTTACGCTTTTGCACAAAGCGGCGTTTCCTTCTATCCACCTTCAAAGCATCCGTCTCATGATCCAATCGTATAAAAAAAAGATAAAAAATACTTATCAATTATGATCCGCGACTTTTAGGCGGTTGTGATTTCTGTGTGGCTGTGTGACGTTGCTTGCCTCTTCTTTGTTCAGTTGGCACGGCTGCTCTGTTGGCCGGGGAAATTTCGAGTTTCCTTTGGAGCATCACTTGAGAAGTTCCCCTGCTGGCCAATCAGAGGAGTGGATTGCTCGGCTGATCACTGGAGGGGGAAGCAACAAGTTGGTGAGGAATGTGAGTGCGTTTCGTGAGATGATTGGGTCTGTGTGCTCTGTGAAGTATGGAATAAAAGTTTATGTCATCGAATCAAATTGGGTTCTCTCTGCTCTCCCAACCCGGCGAATCGCCAACCTTAACACTAAGAATTGAAGTGTTACAAGATTTGAAGGTATTAAAAAACCTATCCAAGCTTGATTTCTCGTTTCTGCGAGAGTTAGATGTTTTCATGTGGAGAGTAGTAGTGACACGAAAACGACTGCATACCGAAAGTAAACAATAGCCATCTTATCGGACGACACCTCTAACAAGGTTTTATTTCCTTTCATTACATCAGATACAGTTGGTCAAAAGGAAAAACCACGTATATCCGTTTCTGACGATGCAGACTTCCTGTCAAGTGTTATTTTTTCTTGAGAGAGCTAATCACCGTAATTTCTTGAAAACTTCCCCGATTTTTCTTCGCTGTTAGCTGAAGATACCGTATTAATGGACCACATTTTGCGACAAGGAACCACTATCTCTGGCTCATTTTAGAAATATCAAAAATGCCATTGGTTTTCCTATGCAGAAATGTGCTTTTATGGAAGAGCCAGTGATAGTGGTTCCTTATTGCAAAATGCAATCCAGATACCTAACTTCACAGTTGACTAGTTTTTCTTCAAAAAATAAAAATTGGAGCAGAGATTTTGAAACACCGCAATCTGGATACGTGGTTTTACTTTTTGACCATCGACACGATTCTCTAACTCTCTGTAAGAACTACCAACTAAATAAAATCAAATCATGAAGTTCATTCTAAAAGGTTGCGTTTTGATTGCAGGTCCGCTAGGCCCTCAAGGTCACTTAGGGCCTCAAGGCCATTTAGGTCCTCAAGGTCATTTGGGTCCACAAGGTCAGCAGCCGATCCGGCCGACGGACGTGGGGACGGTACCCGGCTACCAGTACTTCTTCTACCCCATCTCCAGTTTCGCCGGCAACGGGAACGGCCAAGACCAGCAGGGCAACGATCTTATGATGATGATGTTCCAGAAGACGGGTCTCAAGAAGAAGGTGGAGCCGCTGTTCCTGGCCATGGCCGGGTTCGTCGGGATGGCCATGGTCTTCATCGTGTCCGTCCTCTTCCTGCCGAAGATCAGCAACCTGGCTCACCTGGGACACTTCCGGGACAAGGTGACGCCGCTGATCGGCTTCAACAAGCAGGCCCCGCAGGAGTTCACCAAGTTCTCCAAGTTGGTCATCGAGTCCATAGAGGGCAAGGATTGCACCGAGAGGCTTACCTGCGAGGTTGGCCGGGCCTTCAGGTCCATGCATATAGGAAATAAATCAATCAGGTAACTAACTACTCAAGTGATCTCGAGTCATGCGTACGAAGTCTTATTAAAAAAAAATTAAAAATCCTTCTAAAGTAAATAAAAGAGGATAAAAGTAGAACAACACGGCAAAAATACATAAAATTATTCGGAGTCTCACTACACCATTATCAACCGCTAAAAACAGTAAAGACAAAAAATAAAAAATAAACTAAAATTAAAGGAAACCCAGCACGGCGTTACGTGGTGATGGTTTGAAAGACTGCAATGATAACATTGCCTTGCTACGCATTGCATTTCATTGCCGAAACTTCCCGAATAATTTTGTGTATTTTAGCCTTGTTTCCGGTGTTTCCTTGTTTTCGTTTTGGGCTGCCCGTGTATGTCTTTGTTATACTGTAAGATAAAATAAATAGTGGAAAAAGTCTACGAATGAATTACACTCAAAAATGCAATTGCATTTAAACTTGAAGTATGATTGACTCTGAGAAAGGAAGAATCCGAACAAAGTCGTTTGAAACCGTATGAATGATACAGGTTGAATGAGGGGCGAATGGTGAAACTTGACATGCGTGTATCTGAAGTGCAGTTTAAGAGTCGCAGATAATATTTTCCAGCCGAATGAACCTCATTTACACGGTTAATGTCCATAATCAAACTACTCTACACTCAAAATCCTTTCTAAAAATGTCACTCTCGTCCGTGGGTTACATTTATGATGCCAGAGAGAGCGCACAGTAAATTTTAGAGGAGGTCTCACTTAATTAAGAGGTACAGCAATTTTATATTTTTAAGAGGTATTCCTACTTAAACTCGGAGATAATTTCGAAAAAAAAAAAAATTATGGTGGTATCATCGTATGTCTCTTGCGGAGTACATATATGGCAGAATAGTTGAATCGCGAATCTTTGAACCGCAAGCCATGAACATATAAACGCAGGTTTCAAACACGAAATTTTGCTGCCGAGGTAATTTGGAAAGACTGCAATTATGATGTTCATGGTACACAAACAAGTGATCTCACCCAAGATTATTAACGCAGGCGCAGGCGTGCTTTTCTTGGTATAGACGCTATTAGTGGCGACGTCATCATAGGGATTCTCTATTATATCGAATTGGATCCAAACAATAACATTGGCATAACCTCTTTCAATGCTACCAGTGCGAAAAAATCGATATATATCGCTTTTCTGTGACGTTGCACTAATAGCGTCTATAGAAGAGTGCGAGACAATTGATCCTCTGCTTCGACGCCATAAAACGCCCGCAATTTGAAGAGTATGCAACTTAACTTGCGTCGTCGAACGCCTCAAATAAGCATACCTTGATTATTGTAGGCACTTCTATAATCGGAGAAACTATAGATGCAGTTGACGTTCATTCCTGTTTGTAATTTCTCGAGTTATACATGCCTACTGCGGCTTATTCAAAAATTGTTAAAAATCTTTTCAATTAAAAGAAAAAGTGAAAAAAAGTGAAAAAAGGTTAAATTGATAAAATGATATTAGACCAAATTAGTGTTTGCTTTAATTTCAAGATGAATTTTACTTATGACAATGGAGAAAACAGATTATTTTGCAAGAATTCAATTTTAAAGTTATATAATATTAATCTTAAAAATGCGAACATTATTCGGTAAATATTCCATTGAAGTACATGTATTATTCGTGACTGTTAAACTCCCTCTTAAAAATTGTTTGCCAATTATTTCATGTGCCATGCATGATTCTGAAGCAATTCGATTCAACCTCAATTGTCCATAAGTCTCTCTAAAAATGCGTGTTGTATCAAAAATTATTTGGCAATGTGTGAAAGCTCAAAAGCAATTTTCCGAAGTAAGGCAGTTTAGATCGCTAAAAAATTAGGTATAACGCCGGATGATATTGTGTATCTCCGACTCGAACCAATTTTCCTTGTTTTGGACATGCATCGCAGGATTATACAGGGTGATCCAGGGTTAAACGACCAGACTGCAGGAGCGTGTTCTACGGGTGAAAATAAGACTTTTATGTTGTAAATTAAGTTTTCGACATTTTAATCATATCATTCATTAATTCAGGGCATAAAAGCACAGGACAGTACAAATTTTCGTGAGATTTGGTTCACAACCGTTGCCAAAATTCCGGAAAAACTATTTACTTTCTAAAATGGGGGGGCGCCGTAGCTCCGACCTGGAGCACTTGTGGAAAAAACTTTTTACAAAAAGGGGGGGGGTAGCTCTGACTGGGAGCTCTTAATATAACAAAAAAGTCTTACTTTGACCCATAGAACACTCTCCTGCAGTCTGGCCGTTTAACCCTGAATCATCCTGTATAAAAATAACGCCATCCAGTGTAACAATACAGAAATAAATCCCGCGAATTGGCGCATAACTCGTGACACTCGTTTTTGTCGTCGGGCAGACACAAATTGGGGCGCGATTAAAATCTCTTCGGCGCTGCGGACGAGCCCGGAGCCTGATCTACAGCTCTACCTCCTCCGTAAAAACGACATAACTGCAATGCAATACCTATGCAGATACGCGGTTTAGCACGGCAGAACTCAGAGGCCTCGTTCGCGGTGCAGAAGCACGAAAGCGCGGGGCCGGTAATCTGCCGTGCTAAGGAAAAACGCCGTAAGTACATTCGAGTGTTGCCAAATTTCCTTCGATAAAATGTTAACTTTTGAGGAAAATTATGAATGTTTTTCACTGAAATTTTAAGAAGTTTTAGATCGCATTACAAACAAAATTATCTGAGAAATTGGTAGAAAAATATTCAAAAATTTTCCTGAAAATTAGTGATTTGCGAGGGGAAATTTGGCAACGCCTGGAGGCTCATAAGGCGTTTTTCCCTAGCACGGCAGTAATGGTCCATCGGGGACGATAATGGGATTCAGGGATGCGCGCAAAAACCGCGAGATCCCCGCAACCCGCAACCCCCGCATCACTCACCCCCGCTGCAGGGACAGAGACGGGATGACAGCTGGCATTGCTCGACACGACGATTTATCTTTATTACCCACCCGGACGATAAGCCCGCCGACATGGAGGCCGGGATGTGCGCGGGTTTACGCTAACCGATACGGGTCTCGGTCTCATCGGGTCCATTTTACGGCTATTTTGCCATTCACGCTGGCATAAAGGATGGAAATGTGTCCCAAGGACGTGAAGTATGGTCGGGGTGAATTCCAGAACACGGCTAGCCTTGAGTATTTATGAAGGGTGGGGGTGGGGGGGGGTGTTTGGATATTGTTGTGATCTCAGTGCTTTTGGTACAGGTAACGGTGTTGCTTTCTAATCGGTCTGGGAGTTTTGGGCGTTCTTAGAGCTGATAGGGCTCAATGTAAAGAAGTACTAAGACGGCTGGGCTCTAAATGCTCCGAGAAAAACTCAAAATAACCCAAAAACTTGGGTAAAGAGACTTCAAGCAAGTCACCATCCTCTAACAAAATACCTCCAAAAACTCTTATTTATATTCCCCTCTTTACTGGAAAAGGAAAATATAATGTTTGAAGAGATATTTAATTTTCAACTTCTGAACTGAAAATGAGTTGTAAATAATCTTTGATGAGTCTTTTGTCAAGGACTTATATGTATGTTCTCCTGCTAAAGCGATAACCACCCCTATCTCTCAACGGGCGCAAAATCGCCCCAACCCCNNNCCTCTCCCGGTTAAAGACAATCCAAGTCAATTTGGTGTACAATTTTTAACCTGACTCTAACTTGGTAATTTACTTGCAGCATTCCTTATCAAATTCAAGGCCGCGCTTCTATGTAATTTGGACGCCATGAATCCTATCTCTGTGTCACCAAAACTTTTTCGAGTATGTGTATAAATCTCTCATTTTTTACGGCTGAAAAGCAGATGGTTCAATTCGGTTACCTTTTCAATATAAATTGTTTCCATACCTGCGTCCAGTTTGATATAAAGAGATAAAAATTGCACTAATTTTATTGTTAATTTTAAAATTCTCTAGAAAAAAATATTCTAAAAACTTATCAAGAAACTCTTTGAAAAAACAGTAAGAGCGTTCTCGAGGGATCTTAATGGATATACTTGTTGTTATGTTTTGTTTTGTTTTATTTCAACGTCGACACGTGAGCTAGTCATCAATCATGACGTGATGACTCAATGATCATAATCAGGCTGAAAGTTTGGGTCACGAGTAGGGAGTATTAGGCCCCCGTCCAAACCACGCTCAGATATTTGTTACAGGATACGTAGTTTATTATTTTATCGTGCATAGATGCCGCACGATAGAGGACTAATTAAAATGACGTCATTTCTGAGTGTCATATTTTGTGGGCTGAGAGTGTTGAAAGATGCTAGCTAATTATTCATGTGTGAACTAATGTGGAACGAGACAATTTACTTGTTCATTAGCTAATCCACTATTTGATTACGGTCTTAGTTGTGCACGATACTATTGGTTGAACGTATCGCTGCTAAACGAAACTTTGTAAAAATACATTAAATGAAAAGGAAGTGTGTGCGTGGGGTTGCGTGCTACATACTTCCTTTTGATTTTATTCATTTACACTTAATTTCTTTTAGAAATAGTATGTCAAATTATTTGCTACAGTCTAAAGAAAAAGGGACTTAAGCGCCGAAAAACTCAAAATTGAAGTGCTGGCAAGTTCTAATCTATTTAGACGAAATTTTATAGCCATTGTTGCACAAAAATTGAGTCCTCCGTTGAGTTTAGACGAGTTAAATTGATCGTAATATATTTGATGGGGGAATGGACAAAAGTAATTAAAAAATCGGTCAAATTCCGGTTTTTAACTCATCTTGAAAAAAATTTCCCCCTTAAAACTGTTGCCTCCGAAAACTGGGCCTTTTTCCTTGTAAATGGTAACAATTTATGTTCTTTATATTTCGTATAGTCAAAAGCATATGATTATAAAAAACATGCCAAAATTTTGATTGGTTTCCGTATCAAAACATTCGACACTTACAAATTATGCGTTTATTCGTATACACTCATCCACGTAACTTAACGTGTATTATTCTATTGGACCTTCTCAATCAACAGAAAAAAAAATGAAAATCATATTTTTTTCTGTGCATCGATGGGAGACACGTTGTTGATATAACCTAATTATAGGAAATGACTCTGGAAAAATATAACAATCCCAAGGAGAGGGAAGCAAAAGCTTTCATAATACAGAACATCAAATCGCTCAAAAAGAAGATGGTGGATCCCAGCAATAGTCCCGGAGCAGGAAAAGTTAAAATTAATAAAGCTACGAAAATAACAAGAGTCATTTAGCCTCGAGGATTCTGCCATCAACTTTTATGCTCGCTTGGTTGTGCAAATATAATAGGGATGTGCGAAGTTGCGAGATTGCACAGAGCATTTTCTAAAATCTTATCACCATATTTCAAAAATAATAGCCCCATAATAAGATGGTTTTTATTTCAAAAACTTTTTAGAATGCGAGTTACTATCAGTTCTTGAATAAAACATTCTCTCCATGTTTTTTGAATTGAAATATCACGTTCTCATTCGCGGGGAAATATTTGGCACAACGTAACCTCGTTATCTTTAACAATCGCCAAATGGAATTAGAGTAAACTTACCCTCGCTACGGAAGAGAAATATTTACTTGCTCGCCTCAGAATCACCTCAGAGTTATAACTGACCTTTAAATCAACCCCGCGCGTTAAATTATTTTTAGGTGATCTCACCAATTAACCCTCATTTCAGATGATTCTGTGTCCGATCAAACTTGCGGTAACCTAGTTATGGGCGATCTATTTTTAGGCGGCAGTCCTATAAGTCTGAATCGCCCATATGATCTTCGTATAGAAAAATTATGTTGTTACAAACGTAGCTTCCCTAGCACTCTCTCAAAGCTCGGAAAAAAATATTTATACATTTTGCACATTTATATTATTTTAATGGGTCAGTTGCGCTGGTCACAGAATCGTGTTTTGATGCTTTATTCTTACAGATCAAGATCAACTGAAAATAATAAGATCTGTCCAAACAGCAACTGTCTATGTTGAATATTAACCAAGATATTGCGCCTTGAATCGATTTATGAGATCATCCACCATGTTATGCACTACCGTGGTGGAAGAAGTCAAAAACTCGACCGATTACTTACGGAACTCGGACGATATCTCGGTTAATATTCGACGTAGAAAGTTGCTGTTGAGACAGATCTTCTCATTTTTAGCTGATCTACAAGAATGAAGCATCAAAACATTATTCTGTTACCAGCGCAACTGGCCCATTGTAATTTTCTAGGTATTATTAAAACTTGATTTACGATTAAATGATTGTGTTTTATTTTGTTTGTTTGTTTCAGGTTTATGGAGGTGATGTTACCGCCGAGTATGGCTGAGCCATTAGCCAAATTAAGGAAGTCGTACATAAGAAGAGAGAAGTGCCATTACATTCCATGTAGAAAAAATACTAGTATTAAAAAGAATGATTTTAGTAAATTTCAGCAATTCAAACCAAAACCAAAAATAAAACCGCTCCAGATTCAGGAAAAAAACATCAAAGTAAAATCAAATAAGCATTAAATCGAGTGTTTTCATTTCAGTCACACCCTCTGCATTTGGTAAAAAGTCTCGGTTCCCAATGAATGAAAGCGAGGAGTATCATCGAAAAGGGGATTAAAAAACAGTCCATTTGAACCGGCAATTATTTCTCATTTTGTGTGCATTGCGTGATAAAAAATTATAAATATGCTTGAAAAAATCTGATATCCTTAAAAAAGGACGGATGAATTTATACTACTTCAAGCATTTTTGTGAAATATTTTAGGTTTAGAACTTGCGATGAGGTAAAACGCCAAGCACGAGTAACTCCCTCATTTGTCCCAGAAGATTCTCAATAATTAGGCTGCTTTGGAATGGTTTCTCAAAGTTTGAGCGACTACACTCTTGGTTATTGTATCACGACTCTATGACGATTTGAAGTTTCCAGCTCGGCAGATAAAGGTTTAAAAAACGGTTATTTAACTAAATAAAAAAAATATTTAAATGCAAAATAACCAAGACAAATCATAACGATAATGAAACTGCCAGGCCACGTATCTTGTTGCAGTGTTTAAAAACCTCCGCATCCTTTTTATTTATATTTATTTATTTATTTTTTATTTTTTTCCTTCTCTTTTTCTTTTCTTTTCTTTTTTTTTTCTTCGCGCAGAGAGGTAAAATCACGGAGTTTTTCAAGAATTGACGTTGAGTAATTTTCTGTTTAAGAAATAAAGTATGATAGGAAGTCTACAACATCGCAAACCGAGATACGTGGTTCATCATCGATTAGTGTTATCGATACTTAGGAGATTTTTCCGCTGGAAATTCAAATTTTGTTTCGCCGACTCGGTTGGAGGCATGACGCTCCTCTAAAAGCATGCATCCGTGCACACGGGTACCTGCTAAATTGTATGCACATAATAGAAAATATTCCGTATCATTTACAAAGGGGACCGAGAGAAGTGGAACACGCTTACAAACGCCTGAATAGTGAATACAACTATTCGTACTCGATGGATGTCCGTATTGCATACACGAAAAATTGCAGGCGCTATGGAATTGCGTGGAGCAAACGCAATGCTTGCACAGCAATATGCACGGCTTGCCGTTTGTATAGTTTCGGACATGACAAGACTTCCGTTCTGCCATGCTAAGGAAGAACGCCGTATGAACATTCGAGAGTTGCCAAAATTTCCTTCGAAATAAAATTTTCATTTTTGAGGAAAATTATGAATATTTTTCATTGAGATTTTCAAGAACTGTAGGTGAAATTGCGAGCAAAATTATTTGAAAAATTGAAAAGAAAATGTTCATGAGTTTACCGAGAAATTTGTTATCTATCAAAGGAAATTTGGCAACGCCTGGAGGTTCATACGGCGTTTTTCCTTAGCATGGCAGCGTATTCTCTTCACATAGAGTAGGCAAATCACGGAAGTTTTCAAGAATTGACACGAGTAGTTTTGTGTTTGAAAAATAAATTATGACGAGCCGTCTGCAGTGTCGCAAAACAAGATACGCGGTTTGGTAATTTCACTGTTGATGAGGAAATTTACTTTTTGACCCACGCAAGAGCTGATCTGTGCATTTCATAAATCAGACACAAATTTTAGGTTGTCGAAGGATGTATCTCTCTCTAATAGACTGCCTAAGCTATGTCTATATTTTAGAAATTTCCTATCCAGAGACTATTGATAGGACAACTTTTAAAATAATACTCGTAATATAAAAAACTCCTCCTGGGGTATGCATTCCAGTACTTACGAGGGGTAAAATTTTGATTAGGTGAATGTTAAAAAAGATTCTCATAAGACATCCATGGTTGAAATGCGAAATATCGTTCCTTCGTTTGTGACGTTGTAGACTGTCATGCTTTGTTGTTTCTTTGGAAAACTTTTCAGCGCGATTTCTTCAAAAATTGCTTAGAGTTTTCTCCTCTATTAGAGGAATATTTCGTAAGAATTTCAAGCTATAAAATTGGTTCATTTCTAATTCAAACAATAAAATTAGTGCGGAAGTTTTGAAATACTGCAATGAGATGTGTGTGTGGTTCCTCTCTATGGCTAGGAATATATTGTGGTTTTCCAATCTTCAACATGTTCTACCTTTTTTTCAAAAAAAAGAAAAAAAAAACTTAAAAAATATAATTTGTCTGAAAGAATTGTTGCAAATTCTACCTGACGCAAAATTTAAATTAAAAACATACAAACCAGGTTTGTATGTGTTGGAGTATTGCACCAAACAGCGTATCTCTTCGAGGGAAAATTGTGCTCATATGAGCTTTTTATCTCTGTATTGAGATTTTCCAGATTTATGCTGATTGTTAACGCACGTTGGCTAAAAAATTCCAACTCACCGTCAAACAAGGTTTCCTGAACAATAATTTCAACGGTATTTTCAGAAATTTCGAAAGGTGTTTTAATAGGTCATTGTTACTAAGGACCCGGATGCTGAAAAACTGGAAAGGGAAAATTGTTCTTATACGAGCTTTTTCTCTCTGTATTTTTCAGATTTATGCTGACTTTTAACGCACTACTTTCAAACAAGGCTCCCTGAAGAATAATTTCAACAGCATTTTAAGAAATTTCGAAAAGTGTTTTAATAGGTCATCGTTACCAGGGACCCGGATGCTGAAAAACTCGTCGAGGAAATTGCGATTTGCAAAGGCTAATCGCAATACTCTCGGATCCCCGCTTTTGGTCGTAACGTGCCCACTCACTTAAGAAAGGCTAAATTTTTAAGGAAGCTGGAGCTTTAAGTAGCGCCCTGCTAATCCTCCCTGGAACTTCCCCCGTGACGTAGACAAAAGCCAGGCGGAAGCTTCCTCTTACTTTATCACGTCACGTAGCGCAGGGATCTGCTCCCAGCGGGATCCCAGACCTACCCCACTCCACTTTTCCGAACCTCACACTCATTCCTCCGTCGTCTTGATGTCCGTGTGTTGCTGTTGCTTCGCGTCTACCCACCGTTTGCGCCCTACGCTGCCAAATCTATTTCAAATTATTCGAATATAATTTGCAATAGGTTGGTTCCACGTACCTCAGAATAAAGAATTTCGATGGCGTAAGTCCGCAATCACATATCTCGTTTGCGGTTTCTGAAAATCTCCGCCTTTGTGTTATTCTCTTAAAGGAGAACAAATTGGACGTATTTCTATCAAACAGATTTATGTGCAGGTGAGAAACATGGGGTTGCTCCTTAGTTCTCTGGCCGTAAGATTGAATGAGAATAAAATAACGCCGGTGACGTCAGCGGCAACGATCGAGCGCGAGTGCGAGGGGGAGATCGTTATCGGGGCGCTTTAACTCATGAGCCCTGTCCACAACGCTCTCGTGCCATGCCCGCGGCTCATGAATCCCGCATTCAGTTGGCACATAGGTTTTATTTGCTGAATTTAAAATCCCGCTTATCCAATTCATCGAAAGGAATCAAGCCCACTTTTACATTGTTTCTTGTGCAGCTTTCTAGAGCACACCCCATATTTCTCACCTTCACATAGTTCTGTTTGATAGAATGGACCACTAAACAAGGTACGAATTTCAGCATTCTGATACATGATTCTTAACCAAAATTTCACGTAGAACACGATACGCACAACGAAAATTACCGAAATCAACTCGTTACGAAGATATTTTATGATTCTTGATGCGTGAATTCAAACCACCCGCTCATGAAAACTCAATACTCTACGTGATTCACATCGCGCGCTAAACCTTTATCATGACAGTCTCTGCGATGTAAAAATCTGGCAACCTCAATCTTGACGCTTTGGCTCAGCTATAGCAAATTGCTTATAGTTTGAACAACACATTGTGGGAAATGAACATTGCTCGATAAAGAAGATTGCCGAAACCGTTGTAGCTCGCGATTTGACTCACGTAGAGCTTTGAGTTTCTTGTGAGCGGGCAGTTCAAATTTCTCGTAACCAATGCGAAATAAAAACGTTAATATCTTCGTTAGAAGTTGGTTTCAGTAATTTTCGTTGCTCGAGTCGTGTTTTACGTGAAATTCAGGTAAGAAACATGTATCAGAATCCTTTAACTCGTACCTTGTCTAGTGGTCCATTAGGTCCAATTTACATCATTCCTTGAAGTTTTTGCAGAGTTTTAAAAATCATTCGAAATGATTATAAAGTCTTGAAAAGCATCTTATCCTTGCTATCTTTGAGCATTGATCTCCCCTTTCCCTTCAAAGATGAGGAATGTAGACAATTTTTTCGCTCTCTCGAAAAATCGCGTTTTCCGAGATACGTGGTTGCTGTCTCAAAACATCGATTTGCTGATTTTCGCTCACATTTACCAAAATAGTCACAGAGATACGTGGTTTCGTACAACAGCCATCGATTTATCGGTTAAGGTAGTGAAGATACTCACTGGTTGTTCCACGCATCATCCATGAAACCAAAGTGGAACAATCCATAGTACCCACCAACACAATTGATTATGTTCCCCACCGCAGTTTTCAAAATAGTTTAAACCTAGTTGGATGTGAAGACCTGGAATTGGTACGAGCGTTGGTATTTTTCACCAAGTCTAAAAATCATACCAATGAAATAAGACTTGGAAACACGCACAACCTATCGATTTATTTCCGCTCAAAATGGCAACTCTTAACCTGCGGTGGATAGTCAGAAGCGATGCGCTGCGCTGTAAACTGTGCAGTGTGCACTGCCACCGTGCCTTAGTTTTAAAATGGGTCACTTTCTTGTACCCTCCCACGGGAGAAATGGAGCAAGGTGCAAGGTGACGCAGAATCCTTTCCCTTGTGCTCTGTGCTTGCCTTTTCATTAAAAAGGTGCAGTGTCTTTCTAGTAATAAAACCTGCGAGTAGACTACCGGTCGACTGGTCAGACGATTCCGCATGGAGTAAATAAGTTCTTCATGCTAAGAAATTCTACGATTTTTTCCCTTCATCTTCAAATATTTCTATTTTCCTAAGTAGCATGGGGACCTATTTTCTGTGTAGAATTAATTTAGAAATTGTCTATTTTCTAGACAAAAAAATAAAATGGAAAGGAAATGGAAACAAAGTAGATGTATCAACTAG